CGGGCTCACGGCCTCCCCGGGCGGCTCTCCCTCTCTCCCCGCTGTCCCGCAGCGCTCTCGGGCTGGTCCCGTTCGCCCTCAAGCCCCTCCTGAGACGGGCCGCGGCCTACGAGGCCCTGGAGAGGTACCAGCTGGCCTACGTGGACTACAAGACGGCGCTGCAGGTGGACTGCTCGGTGCAGGCGGCACACGACGGCGTCAACAGGTACCGGGACCCCGGTTTGCTGCCCCTCCGAGCCCCGCCCGGCAGCCCTGCCAGGAGCAGCCCGGGTCCCGAGCACACGGATGGAGCCGTCGAGGCCTCTGGTGGCTTGGGAAGGGGGTGGCTGTGCTCCCTGTGTCTGCCCGTGGCCAGAACTCCCGTGTCCTGGGGTGTCTCTGCTTTGCTCAGTGCCTGCCTGAAATGAAACAATGAACTGCATGTGCCCTGTGCTTTAAGCCTTCCCGTGGTTGTACAGGCTGCTGTGGTCCTTTCCTCTTGCTGGAGCTGGCTGCTTCGTGTCACTGCTTGCCAGACTCAGCACTGAGGTGCCCATCTCTTGCCCATCCCAGCACTGACAGCCCCAGCCCTTGGCCTCTGGTATTTTTACCCTTTCTGACACAAGGGTCCTTCCATTAACATCCTGTCAGTAGAGGGAACTGAGTTTAGATGCATGTAAAGGTGTTAGTGGAGAGGTGCTGTCCTCAACACAGAACCCACGTTAAAAATGGGCCCTCCTGCCACTGCCTGTCCAGCCAGCAGCCAGGTGACTGCCAGCCCTCTCTTCCAGGATGACTAAAGCCCTGCTGGAGAAGGATGGCGTCAACTGGCGCCAGAAGCTCCCTCCAATCCCCACAGTGCCCATTTCTGCCCAGACAAGGTGGAGCATTCCCTCTGCTGGATCCCCCGGGGCTGACACTCCTCCTGCAGCTGCACCAAGGGGAGAAGCAGGTGAGCGTGTGCCCTCGGGCTGGGCACAGAGCCCTGTGGCTCACAAGGGTGGTTGAACGAGGCAGATGCCACGCCTGGTTGTGTGTCTGCAGCTGGGGCTGAGGTCTGGAGAGACCTGGGCCTGGTTCTGCCACAGCCTCTTGGGTTGTTTTGGGATCCTTTGATGTCTCATCTCTGCTCTGGGGATATTTGCTTTGTGATCTTCATAGTGTTCTGTATTCTTTCTGTAATTCTTACACCCTGTTTCCAGACCAGACTGCTGCTGGCACAGAGAGAGCTCGAACTCTGAAGGAAGAAGGAAATGAACTTGTAAAGAAGGGAAACCATAAAAAAGCCATTGAGAAATACACTGAGAGTTTAACACTCCACCAGGAATGTGCAGCTTACACCAACAGGTACCACTCACCTCTTTGCCCAAGTACTTTCTGGTACCACCGTGGCACTTCTGACAGAGCTGTCCAATGTTTGCTCTTAACCAAATTAATAAAACAAAACCACCTACACATGTTCACCCCAAGAGCAAACTTCCCAGTAGTTTGTACAACAGAAGCCCCTGGAGACACTCAGCTTAGGGCTGCTGAGAGATCTCTCCCTTCAGTGCTTGTCTGCCAGGACTGTGGTGTTCTGCATAGTGTCTGCTGGCACACAAACCACAGCTTGCAGACTGCTGGACTCAAAGTACTTCCAAGGTAGTTGCAGCAAGCAGGGCATGTTCTGGACTGGTATAGGACCTGCATCCTTGAGGTGTTTATTTTTCAGACTGAAAACCTGCTTATTTCTTCCCTTCCTTTTAACTGAAATAAATTAAAGCTCAGGAAGTAAGATAACATACAAGGTTAAACACTGTGGAGTCCAGCTTTGTGCTGTGTTGGGGTTGGCTGGGATCTGCTACATGTGATGCAGCAGAAATGCTGCTTTTAGCTGAGCACCTCTAACCAGGTACCTGTGTTGCAGAGCACTCTGCTACCTGACCCTGAAGCAGTACAGGGAAGCAGTACAGGACTGCACAGAAGCTCTGGGGTTAGATCCTAAAAATGTTAAAGCACTCTACAGACGTGCTCAAGCCCTTAAAGAACTGAAGGTAAGTCAAGAGTTCTTGAACCATTTTAGGCAAGGACTAGAAGCCTGTTCATGATAGCCTTTAGGTCTTGTGTCTGTGCTAGAGAACATCTGCCATCAGACAGCTGAGAGGAGTGAGGGGAGATTTTAGTTTACATCACTACTTGCTGTTTGGATTCTATGAGTTTCTCAGCACCAGGTCATCTAGAGATGCTGGAAGCAGCTGCATGTTGTGTTGAACCTTATCTTTGTGTCTGCTGAGAGAAGCTACAGGCAGCAGTGGATGACATTGCATTGGTGTTGGACTCAGAACCCACTTAAGTGATGAAATTATCCTCTCAGCCCTATTTTAAGCATGTTTTAGAACATCTACATCAATACCAGTGCTGAAGCAATTAGGAGGGAGTCACAGACTTAGCTGTTGCCTTTGCCTCTCTTGCTGGGTCTGCATTTTTAATGCACTAACACTTAACAAATTATTATTCTTCTAGGATTACAAATCAAGCATTGCTGATATCAAGAGCTTGTTGAAAATTGAACCAAAGAACACAGCTGCACTGAGATTACTGCAGGAACTGAACAAAGCCTAGGGTAACCAAGCAATAGGGAAAGGTTTGGTTCCCCCTGCAGAAGAAAGGTTTTTCCCTTCTGATGTTGTTTCAGGGACCAATCTTGATGCAGGATTGGCATTGAAATCTACCTTCCACTGCTACTAAGGTGTAACAGGTGGTTCTGTGCTAGCACAGTGAATGTTGAGACACACAATCTGTACCAAACTATTATCTGGCTCTAAGATCATTCACAGTTTCAATGCCCCTCCCTGAGAGATGTATCAGTTAACTTGCCTGGTTGAAGTCAACTTGCCTGTAACTGTTGGCCTCAGGGACTCTTACGTTGACTAAGATGCATGTGAAGTGGCTGTTCTCTTTCTGAGGAGCTACAAACAGAGGGATTTTTTTTGTCCTTATTCAGGTGACAGTTTTGCTGCATTTGTGCTGCTATTACTTACTAAGGTTGCTGCAGGAGCTGCTGCAGTTGCCCTGACACCACCTACCATTCTTGTGACAGAGACACAGTTACTTGCACAGGGCCAAGCTTGATCCCTCTCCCACTTGATGCATGCTGGCCCTCAGCTGAGTTTCTGCTGCTTAGTGTAGCTGGGCAGATGTTTGCAGCAGCAGCTTTCTTTTGGTTTTAATTATTCTGCACTTTTAAGAAAACAGCAGCAAGTTAAGCCTGCCTTGTCACACTGTGCCCTCCTTTGAGATTCTGGGTGCTTGGGAATTTTACAGTTGTTTTTTGTGTTGTTTTTTTAAAAACCACTTTAGCTCCTCTGTGCCTTTTGGAGCAGTTGCAACAAGGTGTTACAGGGAGGAAGATTTGCAGTCTGGCTTTCTACTTCAATGCATGTTTATACTTTTTGATCTCCTCCTTATCTGGTATTGATGGCACTGACTTGAAATGGTAAAGAGACAGTTGGACTTACTCTGTGAACCATTAAAGCCAGTTCTCATTAAAGCCATGTTTATTTTCACTTCAGAGCTGTGTTTCTTTCTGGGTAGAGGGGAACTTGAACACTTTTTTTTAACCACTTTACTTCATCCTGTCCCCCCTTTTTGTCAGAGAAATTCAAGCACTTTTACAGTGCCTTGCTCTGGAAGGCCCCTGTCAGTGACAATACATCAGGGTCTCTAACCCTTGCTCAGCCTTGCACACTGAGAAGAGCCTGGCTCCAGATTAAAGTCCTTCATAAGCATCTCACTGAGGAGATGCCAAACAGTGCAAAGTTCAGACTGAGGCATCCACTACAAGGAAAATAAATATTTAAGGAGGCCAGAGGAAGAATTAGCAAAATAATTAATAATAATAAAAGGCGAGAAAAAGGAATGATGCAAAGGCCCAGAACCCCAGCTGAGCAGCACAGAAACCATGCAGGAACAAATGTGTGAGTTTATTAAAATGCTGGAAGGAGAACAAGAGGTAGGAGGGATGACTCAGCAACAAGCTGAAGGGAGAGTATGATACAGTACAGGAGGAAAATTGAGGCAGCAACAGCAGCACAAGTCAGACACAGAGAAGCTGATGGAGGTGAGCTCCTGTCAGCTTAGGGAGGCAGTCAAGTAGGGTCAATCCATCACCAGTCTCAAGTACCAGGGAGCCTCTAGGAACTGAAATTCCTTTCCTAAATAGGAAGAGCAGAGCATTAAGGCCAGGATGATGACAGCACCACACTCTGGGAGAGGCTCAGAGAGCAGAACACAAGACCAATAGGTTCCAGCTATGCCTGGGAGCAAGGAGCATCCCATGGGATGTGATGGGTTATGAATGTTTTCAGGTCCATCAGTGAGTAACTCCTTGAAACCACTGGTCATGAGCACACATTGGAGAAGCAGCTTTTGATTTACAGCTACACCACAGTACTTCAAAAGCTGGTCTTGTGCACCACAGACACACAGTGTGGTGACCAGCAGAAGATCCTTGATCCCAGTACAGCTGCAGGTCTACAAGGTCTGTTGCAAAGGAGAATGATGCCTTTTAAAAGGAATTTAAAAAGGACTAGCTAGAAAGGATGAAATCCAGGTAGATGGTGTGAAATTTGCTTAAAGCCATCCTAGAGAGTCAGAAAGGATCAGGAGAGCCCGTTGGTTGGCAGTTTGTTCATTTAATCCTGTCTGTCCCTTCCTGCCAGCTCTCAGGGCTGCTGTCCCACCAGCAACCACTAACTGCAGCAGCCTGACCTAAGTCCATCCCTCCACCTGCATCAAACAGAGGAAAAGGTATTTGCTTTCTGCAAAGGGAACTAACCCATGCTTTGAAGGTGGAAGCATCAGTTCTTTATTGGTGTCAGCTACAGGAACAAATAAAACTACAGAACCCAATAAATTCACTAAAACTGATGATTCATCAGCACTTGTAATTTCCTGGGCAACTGAACCAGGCTGGGTTCCACACTACATTTCACAAGTGAGATTTCTTTCAGTGGTGAGAAGGAAGTTAAGGTGGGAGGTTTTTACCTCTGCAAGGTTTACAATACACACAAAAAATATAGGATGGGACACTGAAGACAACCAAGGTCAGTGTATGGGCACGATTCCAAAAGCACAGTGGGGTTGCTGCTGCTGTTCTTCAAAGACAATGTTCTCAGGGCTTGCTCTCAGTCCTGAAGTCTAAAAGAAACAAAGACCCCACACAAGCAATTTCATCCAGAGAAGATGAAATTCACCTGAACTTGGATTAAGACACAGTTTCCTTGTGATCACAAGGGGAGAAAATACTATCTTTTAAGGGGTACATGAGAATCTGAATTGCTTGTTAATGGGTCTGTCCCAGCCTCAGCAGCAAGACCAGCTCTCCTGATCAAGGCAACCAGGACTACCAGCATTGTATAGGTATCTGCTGACAAGGTTCAGCAAAAAGCCCTGGGAAATCCCAGGAGAGATAGTGCTGGGCCCCACTAGACCTACAGAAAAGCAAAATCCTTTCTTATCTTCCTTGCTGGTTGCACAGTTGTTGCCCTTATCAACACAGAAAAAAACCCCACACAGAACTATGTCTCTGCATCTAGAAAACAGAGGATGCAATTTAAGAAATGGAATTTTACAGTCAAAGAGTCTGATGTTGCTCATCAAGCCTTACCTGGACTGGACAAGAAACCCAATCCCCAGTTTCGGAGCTGGAAACCCCGAGCACACCACACACACCCCAACAGCTGCAGCAGCTCTGGGCACCTACCTGGAGTCACTGCAGGAATGGCATGGAGCTGCTCTTGTGAGGGGCCTCGGTGGCCTGGTGTGCTTGGAGAACAGCCACTGCCTCCTCTATCTGGCAATGGAGAGCACAAGGTGAGGAGGAGCACAACACACACTAAGGCAATAATCCAGTCCTGCTCTGCCCTGGGCACAGACCCACTTCCAGGGGGGAAAGGACTTCAAAAATTATAATAACAATACTATCTAAATCTGCTGCTTCTGCCAGGAGACTGATGAGCCTTGTGTCTCTTCCCTAGGAAAATGCCCCAGCATTTACCCTTTTCTACAGGCATCAGAGAGAAACCAGACTTCTCTGCAGGTGCAGCTGCCTGACACCACCCAGCAGAGCCCAGGCTCCCTCAGAAACCATCAGTGAAAGGGTAGAAGTGAATCTCATCTCCAAGGAGTAACAAGGACATGCAGTCAATCCACTGCAAATGTTTTTATAGGAGCCAAAGCTAAATATTCAGCAG